AGTCTCTTGGGTATCTCTTATCAGTTTTTGGAATCATTCTTACGAATCATATCATCGTTATCATGTCATCTTTTCAAATCTCCTTAAACATCTCATTTTAGAATTTTTTCATTGGCCATTTACAAGAGCTTCAGACTACGACAGATCCCGTTAAATCAAAACGATGATGATGACTTCAGAGGAACCAATGTCGTGAAAAATTGTTTTCGGGTATGTAATCGGCTTCCAAATGGACTTTTTAGTTGTGCGCATCAATGGATTACTTGGAAAGGCATACAATATAGGTCTGGGTCATTGAGGCACAAAGTTCTCATTCTCTTCTTCTCCTGGTCTCTAAAAAACTCCTATACGATTTAAAGATGGTCAAATGCGAATATAGAACAAGTATGATGCACTTAACCAACAATCTCCTCCTTAGTAGATCAAAATCCATAAATACAAGGTGCAATGGCTGCTTGACTTGGTATGGAATTTTTTGAACCTTTTCAGTATAAGTTTTCCCTCATGAATTAACCAAATGCTCATGTTTTCTTGACTTGGTATACTTTCCTTCGACAACAAGTTCTTAGAGTAGTACTATTGGTGAGCTCAAAAGTTCAGTGACCATGACGCCAGTGGCCCCGAGGACTAATCTAAATATTGGGATGCACTTATGGTCTTCACACCCTGGAGAAACTGTGAAGGTGATACTTAAGTCATCATTCATCGTAATTTTACATGCAAAGTAGCCTTTCTGATTTGGTTATAACCTCATGTGTTTACTGAAGGCAGAAAATGAAACAATCTAACCGTCAATCCACTAGGCGGTCCAGATTGCAAACACATGTAATGTACTATCTCTTTCATGAATTGGGTTGTGGTGGGGATAAGTTTGTGGGTCTAAAGACAAAGTGAGCACAAGGTTCGATAAAAGTCAAACCCACAACCAGTAATATTCTCTTCCTGTTTTTGTAGATCAGGCTGAAGTTGTGAATGAGAAAATGGTGTTGTAGTTGTTAGGGAAATATAAAATACTTTTGCATACCGAAGTAGGGGCAATTTGCCAAANCATTTTCTTTATGCACACGTTGCTGCAGGTTAGATATCATCAGTAGCGTAAGTCTGAGGTGAAGCTTTTACGATGTTTGTTTTATGTGTTGCGATCAATATTTTGATTTGTAGTCGTCTTTAACAATGGAAGAGCGTCTTTCGTCTTTAACAATGGAAGAGCGTCTTTACCTCATATACATACTATATTAAATGCGTTGCTACAATTTTTCTCTCCTCTATTTTGACAACTGTTTCAACTGGTACATAATCCAAATATGTGCTTAAAACCAAATCTGATAGGTAAGCTTAGCAGATGAAAACATCTGCTTTGCAACCGAAGATTTGAGATTAAATGTAAAATGGATGACTAAATAATATAAAAAGGGGATGATATCTTAATAAGTTTGAGGATTACCTCACCAAAGGGAAACCCTCAATAAGTTTAGGTTCGAATTGGTTTGGTTCTAATTGTCGCGTGGTTCAAAAGAATACGATCTGGTTATGGTTGGTTTAAATGGTACCGCTACACACAAAAAGAGAGAATATTAATGCAGCGTTAACA